CGTCTGAGAAGATTCGCAAACATCAACATCGCGCTGCATATGCTATGACTACTCCTCCTCGAGCGTTCATCCCTCTTGCCATCTCGACGGACGGTACCCTGCATCCTGACACCCTCCGCTTCATCGGATGATCTGGTATTTGGCGGACATCATTGCTCAGCGCTCGATGCCTCTTGAGGATGCGGCGTTTGGTCGGCACTTCGTGCCTGATGACGGACCTGCCGCAGTGCTGCTGAGGTCTTGGCTCGCAAACGCGCCGCCACCTATCAGCGCCTCACCATGCAGCTGACGCTGGAAGCGCTCTTGTCTGGTGCGAGGCGCATGACGCCCTTGCGGGCGCAAGCACTTCTCGAGCCAGAGGACAGCTCCTCCTCGGACTTTGTCGAGTCGCCCGAGGAGTCTTCGCCGGAGGTCTCCGACTCCGATGGGGGAAACCCTTCGAGTGGCCCCGACGATGGGCGCGGAGCTGGCGACTCGGAGGCGTCTCCGTCCCTCACTGTGACGTCGGGTGCCTCCGGAGAGCTCGACACCACTGGGGTGCTTGCTGCTAAACAAGCATAGGATTTACTGGCAGAAGGTAAAAAGTGCCGGAGGCTCAAGCAAAACAAAGCAGGAACAAGCTGAACCGGCAGGCACACAGTCCACAGCGAGAAGAGGCTGCACAAACACACACAAAACACAAGCCCGAAAAGAACCAGCACTGCTGGCACCCAGACGCGGCATGTGGATATCGCCCTTCATCTTGCGGCCATGAGGATGGGAGGGTACCTGCCGTCGAGAACGAGGATCCCCCACTGTATCGATGACGCTCTGAAGACCAGCTTCGTTCAGCATCGACCGAATCGTACGAGTAAGGTTGTCATGCGCCGTGGGAAGCTTGGAGGATCGGCGTTTGCAGGTCTGGAGATGATGTGCAGCAACGGAGGGATCGAGCTCGCGCTGACATCCATCACATTCCGTCGGACACTGGCAGATCGGCATGCCATGGAGATAGCAGTCGAGCATCTGAGCATAGCGGTGCGGGAAGGCCTTGAGGGGGTAGTAGCTCGAGACTCGCATCGGAGAGTGGCTCAGGTCTCGCTCAGGAAAATGAGCGAAGATGGTAGACTGCAAGACCCTATCCTGCGACTTGAGCGAGTGTGTCCTGCGGCTGTGCAAGGTGAGGATATCACGCTGCTGATCGGTCAGCGCAGCGCGAGCATGCACATGGCGAGGGAAGACGCGCATGACAAGAGGGGTCACATTTCGCTGCGCAGGGGGAGGAATGAAGCGCCTCCAGCGTCAGCTGCATAGTGAGGCGCTGATAGCCGCGGGTGGCGGCGCGTTTGCGAGCCAAGACCTCAGCAGCAGGTCCGTCATCAGGAACAAAGTGCCGACCAAACGCCGCATCCTCAAGAGGCATCGAGCGCTGAGCAATGATGTCCGCGAGATACCAGATGAAGCGGAGGGTGTCAAGATGCAGGGTACCGTCCGTCGAGATGGCAAGAGGGATGAACGCTCGAGGAGGAGTAGTCATAGCATATTCTGCTTTGTTTTGCTTGAGGGAGAGAGGCACTTTTTACCTTCTGCCAGTAAATCCATTATCTTATGCAACAAGCAAAATAAAGCAGGATCAAGCTAAACCTCCTGGCACACAGCGCACAGCGAGAAGCTGCACAATCACACACAAAACACAAGCCCGAAAAGAACCAGCACTGCTGGCACCTAGACGCGGCACCGCCAGCCCAAGCGCGAAGCCGCGCAGACAAGCAGCCTAAGGGTCACTGAGCAATCATGCAACAAGCAGCAGGAGCATGCAGGAGGAATAAAATCCCTTAGACGCGATACCCGGAGGCAGCCGACTGACCACTGTCAGTCGAGACGTCCGCTGCCGCCACAAAGCGGGCGGCCGCGGACGGAGAAAGGGCAGCCGCCGACAAGGAGCCGGCGCTGCCCGGGGGTCCGCCTGGGGCAGCGGCCCGTGACGGAGGGAGGCTGGACACGGGAACACGGTACCGCTCGAGGTAGTGCCCTAGTGCCAGTGGTCACCGTCGTTCGAGCTCTGGGGCCGGGAGGCACCCGACGTCACAGTGAGGGACGGAGACGCCTCGCCAGCTCCGCGCCGATCCTCAATTCTGTGACAGTTTATGCTCAAGACCGAATTTAATGCACACAAAACCAGAAAAAAAGTGTGACAGTTTATGCTCAAGACCGAATTTAATGCACACAAAACCAGAACTTATGATTGAGGAGCACATGAGAGATAGACCGTCTGTATGCTAGGAGGTGAAACCCCAGCATCCAGACATGAGAGGACCTTAACAAAACGGCTAGGAAAGCCCCCTCTTCGTCCCACACGCTACATGCCGCCTTGAAACACGTAAGTCGTCTTGGTTTACAGGAGAGTTTTTGTTAACTCGGCGCTATCTGACTGGCACGGCTGGCATACGTTCCATCACTGTCACCTGGCATGGCGAGTCGACGCCACCGCCAACGGGCCCGGGGCCTCAGGCCTGGCCGGGCCCCCGCCGGGCCGCGTGCCGAGTCTCGGAGTGCCACGGTGGCACTGCCCGGCCGCTGCGGCTGCGCCCGTACCGGCGTACATCATGCTGGCCCTACTATGATCCCGGCTCCGATGCCAGACAAGGGCCTGAGGGACTGTGCCTGACCGTACAGTTTACTTACGACTCGCGATGATACTGATACTAGTGAGTCCTGTGGCAGTGCCACCCGTGGCAGTGGGCCCCGGGCCCAATCAGACCCGGCGGCAAAAGGCCATAGTAGGGGAAAAGATGGAGGGAGAAGGGAAGGGGGAGAGAAGGGAAAGGGAGGGGAGGGGAAGGGGAAGAGAGGGGAGGGGAACTTAGGGAAGGGAAGGGGAAGGGAAGGGAAGGGAAGGGAAGGGAAGGGGAGGGGAAGGGAAAGGGAGGCACCCGTGACCCCATTTCCCTCCGCTGCCCAGAGTTCTTCTGTGCTCAGCTGAACTTGCATCATTCCTCTGTGGACTCACATGATTACATAGTTCTCAACCGGGAATCAGAGTCGATGCTGCGCACCGTGCTTCAAGTTGTTTTCTTCTTTACTCAAAGTTAAGTTAAAATCAGTACGAGGACAATCAGGAGAGTCGAGGAGTTTCAGGCGGAGTCCGTTTGAATACAATGCAATCTCTCAACACAAGTCCATGTCTGAATACAATTCAATGTCTGTATTATTATTATTTGTAAGAACTCAGATAAGTTCTTGGAGACGGCGAGAAGTTCAGGGTATTGCGTCTCATCGATGGACGAAGCTCAGCGAGATGGAAGTGGGTTCTGACATAGGTCTGGAATTAAGGAATCGACGAGCCTGAGGGTCAGGCGGAGAAGAGGGGGTTAGGAGGACACGTGTCCATTGCGCGCTGTGCATTGTACTGGATTACAAGGGACTGAAGGGAAGGTGACTGCTGTGAATAAAGGAAGTGTTGGTGGTGTTGTGTGGTTCTTCTGAGAGTTCTATCACCATCAGTAAAGGTGTTAGAGACTGCACAGCTGTGTATCGTTGAGGTGAATAAGGTTGGTGTAAGGATCTCAGGTGTACTGAGAGTTAGTCTTTGGTGGATCTTGGGTTAAACAGATTCTGGCCAGTGAGGTGGAGGTTGATTCGATTACAAAGAGAAAATTTTCTCTTTGTTCTCAGTTCTCATTTTTTACTGTTGTTGCGCAACTGTGATTTACCGTACGGTCTGAACTGGAACAAAGAGTGAGTTCGGTTCATCGTTGTTGCAGATTCACTGTTTGAGTCGGTGATTCGATTTTTTTTGGACTCGTTGTTTGGAAGTTGGACTCGATTTTTTGCATTTTTTTCGCTTGTGCTAGGAAGTTGCCAGACGGTTTGGAAGGTCACTGTTTGAGTCGGTGATTCGATTGTTTTTTGGACTCGTTGTTTGGAAGTTGGACTCGATTTTTTGCATTTTTTACGCTTGTGCTTGGAAGCTCAGTTTGGAAGGTCGGAGTCGATTCTTGTGTGGAACGTTGCTACTGATTTTTCGACATTGCTTTTACCATGGGAGGAGGAAAATTGGACCTCAGTGAAGAATTGATCAAGACTCATCCTGAGTTACAGCTGGACACATTCCTCAAAGGATCTGTGACGTCACAGGAGGAATTGGATGAACTCAGTTTGCTTCCGATTCAGAATGCAATGAATCGATATCGAACAGGATTGGGCATGTGTTTGTTCCCGCTGATACGAGAGTTTCCACTCGATCAACTCGGTAATTTTGGTGGTGAGTTAAATACTATTGTCTTGGATCATGTTCGCGTTTGTCCTGTTCTGCCTGTTCCTCTTGTGAGTTTGGATGATTTTCTGGGTGACAAGTATTATATTGTGGGTAGAGGTTCCAGAAATGCTGCCAAATCGTATGTGGCGTCAGAGGATGGAAAGATTCATATTCCCTTGCTTCAGTGGGACAAGTTGTATATGTTATCCACAAGACGACAGATGAATCATGATGAGGCAAAAGACGGTACGCCGTTCTTCTGTGTGTCAGCGGAATCCAGAGGGACAGTGTGTCTGACGAAGGTATCTGGTGATCGTCATGCAACAGGGTTTTTGGTTAGCAAGCCCACACAGTTATCTGATTCTTACTTATGGCATATGAGGACCGGACATCCGGACAGTAAAGTGCAGAAGTTACTTGCAGATACAGTAAGATATGTGACTTACAATCGACGCATTGTCGCGTCTCCTTGTCATATCTGTCGAGTCACATGGAGGAGGATCTGGGTGCAGGAGGATCTGGGTGCAGGAAGGAGCTTGGAGCATGGAGGAGGAGATTGCGATTCAGGAGGACGCAGGGAGCAGCTAGCATGGAGGATGCAGGAAGCTTGATGGAGGAAGCAGGGAGCTTGATGGAGGAGATTGGGATCCAGGAAAGAGCAGGCAGCTTGGAGGAGGAGAGCGCGGTGTTGCAGCTTGGAGGAGGAGCAGGGAGATGTTTAAAAAGGGGGTTCCCGGAGGATGAAGGATGAAGTGGAAAAGGAAGCTGGGAATCTCGCTTAACTTCGTCAGGGAGGGTGTAAGAACTCAGATAAGTTCTTGGAGACGGCGAGAAGTTCAGGGTATTGCGTCTCATCGATGGACGAAGCTCAGCGAGATGGCCCGGAAGTGGGTTCTGACATAGGTCTGGAATTAAGGAATCGACGAGCCTGAGGGTCAGGCGGAGAAGAGGGGGTTAGGAGGACACGTGTCCATTGCGCGCTGTGCATTGTACTGGATTACAAGGGACTGAAGGGAAGGTGACTGCTGTGAATAAAGGAAGTGTTGGTGGTGTTGTGTGGTTCTTCTGAGAGTTCTATCACCATAACTATCCTGCTCTACGGGCCCTTCTAATAAATCGCTGGCGCCATTTCACCTGAGAGCTCTTGAGATTTCATTTGCATGCATGTTCATTTCAATTCTCATATTGACCATATGATCTTCTTTCATTTGCCTTTCCCATCAATCATCTCTTCATTTTCAATTTCTCAATTTCTCAACGGCCGATTTTTCATCAATTTCAATTCTCATTTCAATTCTTGCGATCATAGGTCTTGTATCTTGCGATCATGATGGGAGGCTTCACATCCTAACCTGCTTGACTTGACCTAGAGTTCCGAGGCTTGAACAGTCTTCGGGAGAAGAAGCTTGATACCACGCCATGATGCCAATCATCTGATTCTACTTCTCAATATCAAACCTTCCTTCCAAGGTTCTCCCTCCCTGAATCAGAGATTGGTGCAGGCGATTGCTCGTTGATACCAGCTGTACGATGAACCCCATTGTATCATTCAAGCTGGGATAAATCCCACTGAAGTTCAAAGTTGCTCCCAAAGCGCTGTCTCCAGGCAGTCTCTACAACTACCGTACAGTCAGCACACAGTTGCGACAGAAATCATACTGCTTTGATTCTGTAGAAAATCTTTCCCCCCATGTCCTGCAACTGCGCCACCCTGGCTGACAAGAATCCTCCTTTCCAACATTGTTCCACCCCCCAAGCTTGCACACTGGGCCTAATGAGTCACGCACTCATAATCGTAAGCAGAGATGTGTCACTCATCCAGCTCGTCGCCATGACTTCCCAAGGCAAAGTAATTCAAATCTTCACCAAAGAGAAATGAACTCACTGCTTTCCACCTCGTCAATGGCAAAATCTTTGTGAACAAATCCGCAGGCTGAAACTTTGTAGGCACCTTCACAGGTAACAGATCCCCTTCATCTACCATCAGTACCGTAAATTTAGCCCTCAAGTCGATGTGTTTCAACCGAGAATACGCTCTCTTCTCTGTCAGCAAACGGATACAGGGCTCGTTATCCAGGAGCAACATCGTCGGGCCGGACTGTGGAAACCCCAATTTCTGTAGCAAGTTACGATACATCTTGACGTGTTTGGCAACTACAGAGGTAGCATAAATTTCTGCCTCTGACGATGACAAAGAGATAACTTTCTGTGCCTTGGATCCATATGAGATTACACCTCCGTTCATCACAATCGCGTAGCCAGATTGACTCCTCCTTGTCAAAACATCAGTTCCGAAGTTCCCCAGTCGCTGTCGTCAGCTGCCACAAGTTGATTGTGAAGGATTTCTTCAGTGATTCACAAATACTCCTCTGTTGTGATAAACGATACAAATGTCTCTTGTAGTGTGTAAATACCTCGCGAGATGTAGCAGCGCCTCCCAATCACGAGCTCTGGGCGCTCTCGAAAATCTG